ATAAGAGTTGGAAGTTACTGGAAGAGAAAAGACTAAATCTGTAGAGCAAGATAACGATTGACTGATGACTTAAAAGATTGCAAATTATATGAATCAGGAAAGCAAGATGAAGGAAGCGAGTTCCAAAGAACTGATGTTCGAGGAAAAAAACTAGAAGAATAAGAGTTTTTGAAGCACTTAGGAACAGTCACAGAAAAAGGATGAGACTTAATTGAATGGCGAGTAACACGAGAATGAATTTTAGTAGATGGCACAAGGGACGCTAGCTCTTTAGAGCAGTGCCCATTATAGTATTTGTAGAAAAGAGAAAGAGAAGCAACATTACGACAATGTGACAAAGGTTGAAGGTTGGCTGCAAGAGCAGGTCCAACTATGTTTACAATTCGTTTTTGCACCTTGTCTAAAAGAAAAAGAGCATCATTAGAAGATCCACCCCAGATGTGGCAACAGTATTCCTACAGGGACGGATTTGAGATTTATAGAGATAGAGAATAGAATCTGGAGTAAGAAAGTGTCGAGCTCGATAAAGAGATGCAACCTTAGCATATGCTAATTTTGCAATGGATTTGATATACGGTTTAAAAGAAAGATCAGAAGTAAGAGTTAATCCTAGAAGATGAATGGTAGATGACTCATCTAGTACGTTACCATTCATAAATATAGGAAGATCTAAATTATTACGATAACGATTGGCCGAATAAAATTGAGTTTTATCTGAATTAAATTTCACCAGCCACTGTGAGCCCCAAGCTGTAGCAGAAGTGAGATCCTTTTCAAGCTCAGATACCCCCTCCAAACAATCAGAGAGTGTAGGCTTCTTATCATGGCAAGAGTAAATGGTAGTGTCGTTAGCGAATAATGCCACCTTAGATGTGAGAATATCTGGAAGATCGTTAATGTAAATTAAAAAGAGTATAGGGCCAAGGATTGAACCTTGAGGAACCCCTGAAGTTACAGGATGTGAAGAAGAGTGTTGTCCATCGAGGACAACTTTTATACTACGATTGGAAAGAAAGGACTCAATAATCTTAAAGACGTTACCAGCTACACCATAAGAAGAAAAGTTATGGAGAAGAGCAGCATGCCAAACTTTATCAAAAGCTTTAGAAATGTCAAGTGCGATAGCCTTAACCTCTCCACCTCTATCTAATGCACGGTAAAACTTATCGGTTATTACTGTTAGCACATCAGCTGTAGAACGAGAAGACCGAAATCCATATTGATGATCAGAAAGTAAGTTATTTGATTCAAGATGAGAGATTAGGTGTTTGTTGATTAAAAATTCAAAAACCTTGCTTATGACAGGAAGAAGACTAATGGGACGGTAGTTAGATGAATCAGATCGCTCTCCGGAATTTTTGAAAATAGGGATAACAGATGCTGCTTTCCAGCATGATGGAAAATAAGACTCTGATAAGCACTTGTTAAATAGTTTAGAAAGTATGGATGAAAGCTCCGGAGAACACCTCTGCAAGACTACAACAGGAATGTTGTCAGGACCACAAGCTGTTGAAGAGTCTAAGCAGGAAATTACTTTAGATACAGAAGCTGAAGTGATGCGAATGTCAAGCAAGGGATCAACCTGTTTAACGGCTATGTCAGGTAAAACGCAACTAGTGGAATCAAGAGATGATATTGATGAAAAGTTCTTAGCAAACAATTCAGCTTTGTCTTTAGGTGAGGTGACAAAGTCTGAACCATATAAGAGAGAAAGAATAACAGATTTGCCCTTATTATTGATACTGTTAAAGATTCTCCAGAAGTCTCGAGAGCCTAATTTTTGTGATGAGATAAGAGATTTAATGACCTGGGAATAGCGAGCTTTGGCGTCAGACAAAACCTTTTTACAATGGTTTCTGGCGATAGTGAACAGATGTCTGTTTTCTGGAGAATTGTTTTGCTGATAGATATGGAAGTAACGGTTTCGATTAGAAATTGCTGCAGCGCATTGTGAGGAAAACGAAGGAGAAGAGTGAGGCTTGACCTGGAATCGTCGAGAGGGAATAAAAGATTCCATGCCAGCCTGAATCCATGAAGTTATGTAAGAAGCACATTTGTCAGCAGGAAGACGAAAGATTTCTACCTAAGGGCCATCACGAAGAAAATCACGGAAAGAGTCCCAGTCAGCTTTAAGGTAGTTGTATGTGGTACGATGATAGGGGGATTCAGATGAAGTAGAAGAATTTGATAATAGTTTTAGAGAGATCAAACCGTGATAAGAAGTACCTAAGGGTGAATGTGGAGAATATGAGCACTGACTAGGATCCAAAACAAGACATAAGTCGAGTAGAGAAGGTAAATGATAAGGGTTGTCTGGAAAACGAGTTGGAAAGTTGACTATTTGAGTTAGAGATTGAGAAAGGCAAAAGTTGAGGGCCCTAACGCCAGCAGAGTCACTGACACTAGAGCCAAGCCAATCGGTGTGATGGGCATTAAAGTCACCAACAACGACGATATTGGCCGATGGATAAAGAGAGATGGCTTGGTCAATTTGATCAGA